CAGAGGATGTAAGTGACTGCGGTTATATGCAATGTATTCCGTTTAGAGTAAATGGCTGTACTTATGTACAATATGCTATGTGTTATGGAATATTGTGAATCCATTAAAAAGAAAAGAATACTATAGCTTTACATAAAACTAGCATGTAAAGATCTCCAAGATCTCTTTCACTATTAAGTGAAAAATCAATGTGTGGAACAATGTTATAATGACTTCTTTTGTGTTAGCTTTTAAAACAAAAGAAAAACCCATATGGATAGTATATGTTAATAAATGCAATTTTTTTCTAGGAAGAATCACACGCTATCATGTTTTTCTTTTCTGAACTGTTTCTATTCTCTAGCCATGAATGATTATTGCTTTTATTATTTAAAAATATCCATAGATGGAGAGTGAGATTATGGTCTCCTCTGTATTTTTTTCTGAATTTGAAAAGAATAGCAAGCATTATTTTTTAATTTATTTTTAAAATTTAGGCCTCACTGCAAGGATGTGAAATCTTAGTTCCCTGATCAGGGATCAAACCAAAGCCTCCTGCAGTGGAAGCAGGGAGACTTTCCCAGACTGCCAGGGATGTTCCAGGAACATTATTTTTAAATAACATTAAAAAAAAAAGAAAAACTTTACAATAAAAAAGTTGAATCTGATGCCTATGGTTTATTGTGGCATGAAAAGAGAAAGTCACACAGCAAATGCATTATAAGATCCTCTTTATTAATTAAAAACAAACATATGGAACTATATAATATACTTATATAAATATGGATAAATAGTATAATAGATATTGATACACTATGGATATAGATGTACACCCATACACTAAGCAGTGAATAGGGCTGATAGGTGGAGAGGGAAGTGATATTGAGGGTATAGATGAAGGAGGACTTCAACTGCATGCACTTTTTACCTCTGTATTGTAGTCTTTGAAGTTTTTCTTATTCCTTATGCTTTTACAGAGTCGCTAGACTGTGTCTAAGTCTTTCTGAGAACTTAGATTTCTTTTTAAGTTCTAGACGATGATCAGTTGCTGTCTCTTCACTAACGCTTTCCTAGCATCCTTTCCATTTTCTTCTGGAATTCCTATATATCGAGGTCTAGATCTATCTTTGAATTTGCTTTTAGGCACCTTTACCGAGATATAGTTCACATGACACATAATCATTCACCCACTACTAAATATATATTTGAGAGGTCTTAAAGTGTCTTCCATGTTTCTCAGCTGCTTCTTCACATTTTGGAAACCATCCTTTTGACTGTGGGTACTCTGGATGAACTTATCCATACTATTTCGCAAGTCCATGGGAACACTGCTTCTTTCCTCATCCCATGTCCTAATCATCTCTTCCACCTAGCTGTTTCTAAGTTACATCCTTTTGCAGTAAACCAGTAATATATTCAGTTCAGTTCAGTTCAGTCGCTCAGTCGTGTCCGACTCTTTGCGACCCCATGAATCGCAGCACGCCAGGCCTCCCTGTCCATCACCAACTCCCGGAGTTTACTCAAACTCATGTCCATCGAGTCGGTGATGCCATCCAGCCATCTCATCCTCTGTCGTCCCCTTCTCCTCCTGCCCCCAATCCCTCCCAGCATCAGGGTCTTTTCCAATGAGTCAACTCTTCGCATGAGGTGGCCAAAGTATTGGAGTTTCAGCTTCAGCATCAGTCCTTCCAATGAACACCCAGGACTGATCTCCTTTAGGATGGACTGGTTGGATCTCCTTGCAGTCCAAGGGACTCTCAGGAGCCTTCTCAACACCACAGTTCAAAAGCATCAATTTTTTACCACTCAGCTTTCTTTATAGTCCAACTCTCACATCCATACATGACCACTGGAAAAACCATAGCCTTGACTAGACAGACCTTTGCTGACAAAGTAATGTCTCTGCTTTTTAATATGCTATCTAGGTTGGTCATAGCTTTCCTTCCAAGGAGCAAGCGTCTTTTAATTTCGTGGCTACAATCACCATCTGCAGTGATTATGGAGCCCAGAAAAATAAAGTCAGCCACTGTTTCCACTGTCTCCCCATCTATTTGCCATGAAGTGATGGGACCAGATGCCATGCATAAGAAGCAGTAAAACTAAACAAATGTCACTACACAAGTATCAGCGAATGAAATAAATTTTTATCATATATGTCAGGATGAAGAAAACTGAAATAATCAATGCAAGAGAAAATAACTTAGGGAAAAAGAATCAGTGTAAAACAAGAAAAAAGGGAATTCAAAATTAAGATCTCTAGAAAAGAAAGTGGGAGAGAAAGATTTCTGGACTCTAAAAACATTGCTTAGCACCCTGAGTGACATGTTATTTCCCGAACATGTGGACCCTGATCTATACCACCTCAGTCTTCCCTGACCGCTCAGCAGGTAGAGTCCACCTGCAATGCAGGAGACTCAGGTTCAATCCCTGGGTTGGAAGGATCCCCTGGAGGAGGAAGTGGCAACCCACTCCAGTATTCCTGCCTGGGAAACCCCATGCGCAGAGGACCCTGGCGGGTTACAGTCCATGGGGTTGCACAGTCAGACACGACTGGATGCACTAGCACCTGCCCCATCCCATTGTGTGAACAGCTCCTTGCCGGATGCCGCCTTCAGCAGAAAGCCTCTGTCCTTGCTACGTTAGCAAGGCTATGTGGAACCTAACCTTTAACCAGGCACTCAGGCCTGAGCACACCTTTCAGATCTTTTAATCACAAAATCCCTTGCCTAACTTGTCAGTTCTTTCAGTATGGCAAAGAAGTAAGAATCTGAGAATAAATAATTAACGGATGACCAGATTTCTTTCCTAGATTCCCCTTCAGTAATCCTGTAAACAAACTGTGTGAACAAGATAAGGACTAGAGGAAGATCACAAGAAGTCCTGGAGCCTGCATGCAATGCTTCTGACTGCATCTCAAGGATTAACTGAGATGACATCTCTCCTTTCCCTAGTAGCTCAGCTGGTAGAGAATTTGCCTGCAATGAAGGAGACCCTGGTTCGATTCCTGGGTTGGGAAGATCTGCTGGAGAAGGGAACGGCTACACCCTCCAGTATTCTGGCCTGGAGAATTCCATGGACTGTATAGTCCATGGGGTCGCAAAGAGTCGAACACAACTGAGCGACTTTCACTTTTCCTTTAAAATTTTCATGATTGAGCAGAACCTCCAGAAGTGGTTTTTTGGGGGATGTTGAGTTTACCATCTTCCCAGAGTGCTGGCACTCTGATTAAAGGCAACTTTCCTTTCTACCAGTGTTTGTAAGTTTGGTTCTGCAAGTGGTAAGCAGTGGGCCTTGATTCAACAATTCTGTAATGCCCCTTCTCTGTCTCTCACCCTCAGCCTGACGTCCCCACAACCCAAGGTTTCACTCTTTGGTTGTAACTCAGTTCAGGGCACTATGTCCCTTCTGCACCTAAAAATGAGAACAGGGAATGCAGCGCTCTTGCATGCTTGGGGCCTGCATATGGTAGACATGAATGCATATTTCTTTTTAAAAAATATTTGACTGCATTGCATCTTAGTTGCAGCATGCAGGATCTTTAATTGCAGCATGGTAACTCTTAGCTGTGGTATGTGGGATCTAGTTTCCTGCCTAGGCATCAAACCTAGGAAGCTGGGGCAGTGAGTTTAGGACCCTGGCGGTGGGTGAGGGGATGTGGGGGTTGTCCTGGACACTGGGGACTTCCCTCTAGCTCCACTGGGAGGAGGTCCTCCCTCCTCCAAACCTGGGGAGTGATGCTTCTTTACTTTGAGAAAGATCCTTACCCTGCAATACAGACACCTGACAAAATGTCTTACTTCCTATTACTAAGGGCTGAATTGTGTACCCCAAATTCTTATGTCGAGTCCTGACCTCCAGCACCTCAGAATGTGACTTTCTGTTGGCAGCACAGTCCAGCAGGTGGGATCTAGGCTCTTCACTCGGGGACTGAACCCATGCCCCCTGCAGTGGAAGCCTGAAGTCGTAACCACTGGACAACCAGAGGTCCCCAGAATGTGACTTTATTTGGAGTAGAGCTTTTAAAGAGATAATTGAGCTAAAATAAAGTCACTAGGATGGGTCCTAATCCAACACGAATGGTGCCCTTACAGAAGGGGAAATGTGGACACAAACGCACAGAGGGAAGACGATGTGAGCAACAGGGTGAAGATGGCCGTCTATGAGCCAAGGTCAGAGGCCTCAGGCTTCTGGGCTCCGGAGCCGTGAGACGATAGATTCCTGTTGCCTAAGCCACAGTGCCTGTGGTATTTGTCACGGCAGCTGGAGCTGCCTGATGCTCTTCCTCTGAGGCCTGTGCATCCCACGGTAGGAGCCTCCCTCCTCTCCCGGCAGCTGGACTCCAGTGTCCCCACCCCACCCTCCTCCTGCTGTGATGTCCCAGCCACTTGCTGTTGCCTTGTCTGGGGGGTCAGATGACAGGCCTCAAGTGCAGGGGTGCGTGCTGAGGGTCAGGAGGAGCAGTAGGGCCCAGGACAGGTTCAGGATGAGTCTTTCATCTGCTTTTATTTGGTTTTTCAAGCTTGGATTGTGGGGGTCACAGCTGGTGGACGGGGAAGCCAAGAAGGGACCCCTGAGAGCTGATGGGGCTGAGGGAGGGGCGGGGGGAAGGTTCCAGCGAGCAGGCTGGGTCCTGAGACACACCGCTGGGGCTGAGGGGCTTGGCGGGTCACCACAGGGCCTGTCTCAGGGTCCCGAGCAGGAGCAACGCCAGGGGCCAGGTCTGTGGAGGCACAATGGCTGTGCCCAGCGTGGATGAGCCGGCAGCCCGCAGAGACTGGTGTGGAACCTGGGTCTGTGCAGGAGGGGACGTGGGCTCAGGGGGCGGTGTAAGGGCAGACGTAGGCTCAGAGTGGGGTGTGAGTTTCTGGATCTCATTGATCCAGTCTGTAAAGTAGGTGACGTTGGTGAAGATGCTGGGGTAGACGGGGTGTCGGCAGTCAAAGCCCCAGCTGGCCAGCCCCATCAGAACCCAGGAACTGGCGAAGTCACAGACCAGGGGGCCCCCGGAATCGCCCTAGGAAAGAAACGGGAGTTCAGATGGGTGACTGAGCCAGTTCTGAGAAGACCAGGTGGCAGGGTGGGGCCTATGAGTCTCTGCCCTCCAGCCTCATTCTGAGAATTTCCAATCACCAACTTCCCACTGCAGATCAGCACAATTAAGCCATGCAGGCAGGCACTGGAATCATGCTTCAGGAAGTCCTGATTGACCCTCAAAACAATCACAAATTTATATCCATCAATATATGGATCCTAGGAAATGGCAACCCACTCCAGTACTCTTGCCCTGAAAACCCCATGGGCAGAGGCTACAGTCCATGGGGGTGCAAAGAGTTGGACACGACTGAGCCACTTCACTTTCACATGCCCAGGGAGGGTGAGGTGGTCAGGACAAAGCACTGTCCAAGGCCGAGAAGGGACAGACCGCTGCAGGATTTGAGCTCAAGAGGGCTGGTCTGACAGTGGCACCTGGCCAGCCGAAGCTGCTGCCGATCTGGGTCTCGCGAACTCGGAGCTGCAGCAGCACGTCCCCACCCAGGTCCTCCTCCTTTTCCACTCGTTCAGCCAGTCCTTTAGTTTTCTCTCAACTTCTCGGTTGAGCATCTTCAGAAAGTGCCCATACCCAGGCCTGGGGGAGGCAGCCTGTATTGGTCAGGGAGCAGCTGAGGGTCCCCTGAGAGCTGCTAGGAGCTATTGGAGTCCTGAAATGCTGTCAGGGCAGGACCGCCTGGGTGGAAACCCTCTCACTTCATCACCCAAAGGGAAGGGTCATCCCTGGAGGCAGGGTGAGAGGAGCAGGATAGCTGTGCTTCTGCCTCCCACACGCTTGTCCAACACGCACGTCCAGCATTCAGGGCAGCTTCCGCCCTTGAGCACAGGGGTGAAATGTCAAGGCTCCTCCTTCATGGAGTTATCCTGAATAAGGCAACCAGGCTGCCGTCGTCAGACGTGACATGTGGAAGCAAGCCATGGAAGGGACAGGACAGGAAGGGAAGGGCAGTTCATAGGGTGGAGACACGGAGCTTTCCCGAGCTGAGATTCCAAACAGGACAACCCAACTTTGTGATGCTGGCGCAGAGGGAGCAGGGAGTGCAGATGAGGAGAGGAGGGATGGCCAGGCGGGCGGGAGGAGGAGCAACGACACGTGGGAAGCGGGGCGGGGAGACCGGACTCGGGTTCCCAGGGCCTTAGGGTGGGGTTGGGGTTGCCTCCCGTGGAGCACTGTCCAGCTCGTGCGGAGCACCTGGCTTGCTCTGGTGCTGTGTGGAGAAGGAACCTGTCTGGAGGCAGCTATAGGAGAGAAGGCGAGAGATTATGGGTGGGGAGGGGCCAGGGTGGTGAGACACAGTCAGATCTGGGACAGTATGTTGAAGGAGGCAACAGAATGGTCAGGGCGGAGCCTATCTCAGGAGGCTGTGCAGAGGGGAGGAACAGGCTAAGCCCCGGGGGCTCCAGCGTTTAGAAGTGGGAGGGGAGCGGCCCAGGTGCAGAGTGGAGTAGCTGGCTGGCCCGGGTGCCCGGGAAATGGCAGTGAGGCTTGCCCAAGTGCCGAGTGAGGGAGGATTTGGAGCCACGGCGGGCTCTGGCAAGACAGGCTCCTGGGCACACTGGCCACGAGGCTCCAGTGGCCCTGGGCAGACTCCTGGGCAGAGCGGGTTAGATCCAGGGCTCTTAGGAGGGGTCCCTGGGGGAAGGAGGCAGAGACTGGGCAGCAGCGGGTTAGACGCGGGGCTGTTAGGAGGGGTTCCTGGGGGAAGGAGGCAGAGACTGGGCAGCAGCGGGTTAGACGTGGGGCTGTTAGGAGGGGTCGCTGGGGGAAGGAGGCAGAGACTGGGCAGAGCAGGAGGGAGACCGCCCCTGCACGTGTATGCGAGAGCTGCGAAGGCGGAGACAAGTCCGGCGCGAGGGGCGGAGACAAGTCCGGAGCGAGGGGCGGAGACAAGTCCGGAGCGAGGGGCGGAGACAAGTCCGGAGCGAGGGGCGGAGACAAGTCCGGAGCGAGGGGGCCTCTGGGCACCCAGGGCTCCAGGAGGGAGTGGGCACGACGGGCCAGGAGGCTCAGGAGAGACGGATGATGCCCGCTGGACTGGGAAGATGAACGGCACCCAGGCCAGTGAAACGGGAAGCACGCTCTCCAGCTGAGAGGGAGGGGAGGGGGAAGCGGTGACTTGAAGGGAAGAGAAGGGTACATGGTGTGGCTAGCCCAAAGTAACCCTCAAAGACGGCCGTCCTCGTCACTAGATCCTGGGGCTGTGTTGCCTTATGTGGCAAAAGGGACTCTGCAGCTGTGATGGAGTTGAGAATCAGGAAATGGGAAGATTATCCTGGATTATCTGGCCGGACCCAACATAAACACAAAGGTGCTCATGAGGAAAGAGGGAGGCAGGAGGTCAGAGTCAGAGGAGATGTGATGACAGGAGCAGAGGGAGGACCAATGTGACTTGGTGACGCAGGAAGGGGCCAGGAGCCAAGGATTGCTGAGGACCTCTACAAAGACAGAAAAAGCAAGAAACCATTTTCTCCTAGAGCCTCCGGAAGGAAGCAGCCAGGCCAACACCTTGACTTTAGACCCTGAGGTCCAGAAATGTGAGATAATACATTTGTTGTCTGAGCCACCAGTTTAAGGTGATGTCACCAAAGCACCAAGAAAGTCACACCAGGGGCTGCTTGGACATTGGGAATGTGCCATCTCTCCTCAGCTCTTCCCCTCTGGGGTCCCCACCTGGGGTGCCCTTGGCCCTCCCCACAGTGTACCCACGCTGAGCTGTTCAAGGCCGGGGGAAGGCCTGGTCCCTGTCTCCCACAGGCCTCCAGGATTCGTGCAGATAAGCCTCGTGGTTGCTGATATTATGGTGGAACCTGGGCCAGTCTGAGGGAGATGGGAAGGGCTCCAAAAGCCTCCTGCTCCCTGGGGAGATCTCAGAAGGCAGAGGAAGCTCCAACACTAGTGTATCCCGTGGAAAGTGAGCTGTGGTTTGCACTATTGAAGAGACAGAGCCAACCAAGGCAGTGTGTGTGTGGTGTGTGTCTGTGTGCATGTTTGTGGTGTGTGTGGTGTGTGTATGCATGTTTGTGGTGTGTGTGTGCATGCATGCGTGCGCGTGCATGCATGTGCGTGCATGTGTGTGTTCGTCTGTGTGTGTGTGTGTGTGTTTGTGTGTGTGGCATATCGTGTGTGTATGTGTTGGATGGGGCCAGGCAGTGAATTCTACCTTGGGTGAGAGGACAGGTCTAAGACAGGCCCAGAAGAACAGGTACAACCCTGGTAGAAGGAGACAGACCAGGCCAGGAGATTGAAAGCCAAGACTTGCTAAGTACCTACTGAATGTCAGGCACAGTGTTAAACTTTCTACAGGGACCTTATTAAGAGGAGGCTGTTAGCAACCCCATTTCATGGGTGAGGAAACTTAGCTGAGGTCTCAGTCCCAGGAAACGACAGGTTGAATTCTGAAGCCAGGGCTCTCCTGCCGCACAGTCTGAGCACCGAATGCTTCTGTGGCCTGTCTCTCCTCAGACCTCTTTCTGGGTGCCCTGTGCGTGGGGGGCACTTCCAGGGAGAGAAGCGGGGCCTGGGTTTCCAGGTGGGGGCTGGAGCAGGCGATGCGGCAGGAGACGAGTCCAGACCGAGTGTCTCAGGGGGGCTGTGGTGACTGAAAGGGGGAGAGCGGGAGGAGGGGGTCATCTAACGCCTTGGCTCTTGGGGGTCCACCTCAGCGCCGTCCTCAGCCGGGAAGAAACGAGAGGAGGAGTGGGCTCAAGGGCACTATGGGCGTCCAGCAGGCAGGCAGGCAGAGGGTGCCAGCCCTGGGCTCCGTGGGCAGGACCTCTGCACGCTGGAAGGGAGGCCCAGGGTGACAGCGGATGGGGGCGCGGGGGACTGAGCCCTTCGTTTCACCTTCGGGAGCGGCTGACTCTGTGAGAAGGCCAGGCCAGGCCGGACAGCCAGACCGCTCACACCGCTGGCTGTGGACTGGGAACCTGCAAGGAGGGCAAGGGGCCCAGCTTCCCGCCTCTGGCCCAGCAGCCCCGTGGGCCGCCGTGAGAACAGCTGTCGGTGAGGCCATCCTGTGGGCCAGGGGCAGCTCCTCCCTCCTGTGTGCATCTCCTGGCCTGCCAAAGCGTCTCCACAGACTGGCTAGCTCTGGAAACAGCAGAAATTGACCTCACAGTTCTAGAAGTCAGAAGTCTGAAGCCAACTATCTGTGTCTCTCCCTCTTTCTATAAGAAAACAAATCATTGGATTTAGAGCCTGCTCTAAATTCAGCAAGGTCTCATCTTGAGATTCTTAACAACCGTATCCGCAAAGACCTATTTCCAAATAAGGTCACATTCTGAGATTTAGAGGACACAAATTTAGGAGACACTATCACTATCCAGCCCACTACACTATCCTTGCAACAATCCCATGACGGAGGCCTCCAAAGCCTACGCTGTGGATGAGGACGCAGGCTCAGAGGGGAAACCACCGCCCGAGGTCACGTGGTAGTGCAGTCTCTCACCCTGGAGCCCTGACACTCCCTCCGCTCCACGACACCATCTGTGGAAGAATCAGCACAGGATGCCAGCCTGGGAGCCTGGGCCCTGAGGATGATGCGGTGGAGGTCAGGTGGGGCTTGGGATCAGAACACAGGGGCCCAAGCTGTGGCCCTTATTTTAGGGGAGCCACCTTCCTTCTCCAGGCTTGTTTTCTCACCCATAAAAAGACACCACAGAGAGTGGAAAAAAAGCTTCACAGTCAAGCATCCAACAGCGGGACTTCCTTGCTGGTCCAGTGGTGATGAATCTGCCTTCCAATGCAGAGGATGCAGGTTCAATCCCTGGTCAGAGAACTAAGATCCCACATGCCACGAGGCAACTAAGTCTATGTGCGCAACTGCCGAGCCCACGCGCTGGGAAGCGCGCGTGCCTCAACGAAAGTGGAGCCCACACGCGGCAGCGGGAAGCCTGCCCGTCACGACTCACACCCAGCCAACATGGCCCAAACAAACAGAGCGAAGCCAAAAACCCCACAAAACAAACGTCCGGCAGTAGGCTGATATCCGGAACATGTAAAATACACAAAAGCCTCTAAAGGAAGAGACGGACAAACCAACCGAAAAATGAGAGGGGGGAAGATCCTGAAAGGAGACGTTACAGAGAAATATGTCCAAAGATAAAAATATGTGAAAGTACACTCAGTTCGTCACTGGAAAAGTGAAAACCGCAACAAGTTATTAAAATGAGAAAAGATGGAAAGTGCTAAGTACTGGTGAGGATATGAACTCTCATCCACTGCTCGAATGAATGGAAATGGTGAACCACTTTGGAGAAGTTTGGTAACATCTGCCAAAGTTTAATATACACACACCTTTTAATCCAATAATTCTACTCAAGGGTTTCTGTGAAATAGAAGATAAAACATTTGGAATTGAAATGAAAAATTTGGAAAGTACTAAAATATGCATTAAAGTGTAACTGATCATAGGATTCAGTGGACACAGGAGAGTCCTATAGAGTAAGGAGACTGAACAGGTAACAGTGTGGATGAGTCCCACAAACACAATGTTAAGACAAGAAAGACTGAGAACTGGAAATAAATTCTACTTACAGAACATTCAGAATCTAATCTAAGGTACTGAAGGTGAAGATGGTGGTTTCCATTAGGGGTTGGTGACAGGAAGGAGGTGTGAGTGGGGCCTCTGGGGTATTGATCACATGTTGCCTCACTATGTGAAAGTTCATCCAACTTATGAAAAGAGCATGGGTGTGTGTATGTTACACTTCAATAAAAACTTTAAAATATGCCTCAAGAATAGATGCCGTAGATACCCTCATGTGCGAGGGGCTTAGGAAGGGGGTCGCCTGGGGGACGTGGCCAAGGGATGGAGCCCAGGAAGACGCAGAGAGGAGGAAACGGGAAGCCCAGGGCTCCTCAAAGAGAGCTGGGACCACAGCCCCTCCCCAGAGAGACTGAGGTCCTGAGAACAGCAGGGGAAACAGACAGGGCCTGACTCACGTGGCAGATGGACTTTCCCGTGGAGAAGTCCCCGGCACACAGCATGTCCTCGTGCACAGAGAAGTTTTTGCCTTTCGCATGTCCATATAACATATTACAGAACTTGTTCTCAATGAAGCTCACCTTACCCTCCTGGAGATGGAAGGGTTCGAGCAGTGGAGCTGCGAGGATAAAGAGGAGATCAGGGAAGGATGCTGTAGCCTAGCTACAGAGCTCTGCCTTACCAGTCAGCACCACCCCTCAGCACGGGGCTTTCTCCGCACAGCTGGGCGTTCACCCTTGTTTCAGTCTTCTACCTATGTCTAGTAAGCCCTCCCCTGTTTCTCAAACTTTTCCAGACTCATCCTATTCCCTCCACCTCTTTCATAGCAACAGACCACACTCCTATTCCACGAAGGGAAAAGGCAAATCCCTCCAACACCTGCCACTCACTGGTGCTTAGCAACCATTCACCAGCCTATCTACCCTTTCACTAACATTCCCATCCACTCACCTTTTGTTTATAATTAACCTTGCTTTCCATCCACTTATTTCTCCATCCATCTACCTATCTTTCCTCATGTCCCATTCACCCACTCATCCTTCCATAAATTTGCCTATACACTCATCTTTTCATCCATCTCTTCATTCTCCCCTCCAGCAATAGACCACTCACTCCATCTCTCTGCCCACCATCCTTTCAGCCATTTGCCCATACATCTTCCCTTCCACCCACTCGTCCTCCCACCTTCCCCCATCCATTCTCTCATCCAATCACTGATTTATTCATCATTCAATTACTCATTTCTTCCTCTGTTCTCGTGTTAAGTATGTTTTAACTAATGATACAGGGGAACATTTTAGTTGGGGCAGACAGGGTAAACGAAGTAGATAAGTAGCATTACTTTAGATCTAATAAGTGGTATAGAGGACATAGAACAGGGAGACGTGCTATTAGGGGCGGCCTGTTTTAGCTCACACGATCAAGTAAAACTCCGCAGAGGAGCAGCGGAGTTCCATATGTAAAGAAACGGGTCATGGCAAGGTTAGTTGGGAAAGCAAATGAGTCCAGGGGGATAGTCAAGGTGGAGACCTGAGCTGGGAATGGCCTTGGCATCGTCAAGGCAGGAGGGAGGCCTGCTGGCTGGGGTGGTGTGGGTGAGGGATGCAGCAGGAGCTGAGAGAGGAATGGGCCTGAGAGCCACGGCAGGGAGTTTCGACCTTATTTTAAGTAGAAATGAGAAGCACTGGGGGCAATGAGCAGGGAACTGGCATGACTCCTGCTCTGAAGCAAATGCTCAGACAGCTGTGTGGAGAGTGACATACAGCACCCAGGATGGGAGCCGGGACCAGTCTGGAGTCCAGGGAGGAAGGGCCCGGGGGCAGCTTGGGATACCTGCCAGGAGCCAGGCCCTGCCTGGGGCATGGACTGGGATGTCAGCGTCCCTGATCTCAAGGAGGAACCTGTGTGTGCGTGTATGTGTGTGTGCGTGCGTGCACGTGTGTGTGCATGCGTGTGTGCGCGCGTGTGCATGTGTGTGCATGTGTGTGTGCGTGTGCGCGCGCGCGTGTGTGTGTGTCTGTGGTGTGAGAATGCTGCGGGCCTGGTTGTTACTCCTGTGATTAGGGTGTGTTAGTGACATACTAATAGGCAAGGACCAGGGATGCTGGAACATCCCACCCAATGAAGCAGCATCTGTTCAAAGTGCCTGGAGCACCTCTGTAGAGAAACACCATACCAAATTATCACCCTACAAATAATTACAAATAAATATTCTTTCCCTCCCTAATTTGGCGTCATAAGCATTTTACCAAGTCATAAACACTCCTTTCTTCAGTGAAGACTCTTGCTCATAAGTTTTGGTCTACTTTTCTCCTCTTTCAATCTTAAAAAATACAATTTGCCTAACAAGTCTACAAATTAGATAGACAACCTGAGCTGGGAGAAAACCAAAGTGAGGTCTGGAGCGTGAAACCCTCTAAGTCATAATCATTCTAAACTGATCAGGCAGGCTGAGGTCAGAGGTCATACTGGTATTTTCTTTCCACTTTTCTCAAGCACCTCCTTTGCCACTGGGAAATCAGAGAGTTTGTCAGTGACCTGGAAGGAGTCGGGCCCCAACCATGACCTTTGCGTTGGATCAAGCCATCTCAGATCTATGGTTGATTTAAACCTTGTAATCAAGAAGCAGAAAGACTTCAAGAACTCAGATTCTTGATTCCAAAGTCAAAGATTCCCAGACTTCAGAGCTTTACACTTAGGGAACACCAAAGCTTTAGAATCGCACACTTTCAGAACTAGAAGTAGAATGGTCCAGTCCTCTGGAAATGAAGCATGGTGGGCCAAGGGGACCTTTGTCTCGGGACCCCTCAGATGGAGGCACACCTCCCTTCTTTGCTCCTGTCCTTCTCCCCTTCCTCCTCCTCCTCTCATCCCCCCAGCTCCCCCACACCCTCTCACTTTCCTCGCTGAGCATCCCCCAGCCGGTTATCCAGCAGGACGAGTTACTGGGGAGCTTCATGCCAGGGGCTGGGAGGCAGGCGGGGACGATGGAGGAGGTGAAGTTCACAGGAGAAAGCAGCTGCAACATGGCGATGTCGCTCCCGAAGGGATGCAGCTTCTCGAAGTCTGGGTGCGTGACGATCCGGCTCACGGGTACCTCCTGGCTCTGAGGGCCGTGCTGGTACAGCTGGGTGCTTCCTAACAGAACCCGGTAGCTCTCCGGGGCTTTGGGTTTCCTGGAGAAGGAAAGGCACCTTGTCACCATCACCTCCAAGCGGGGACGCGCTGTCTGCCTGCAGCCTCGTCTAACTGCTCGCACCCCTCTGGGCCCCTCCACTCCTCGTGATGCCAGACAGCCTTGTCTCCCCATTTCTAATGTTCAGGAGCCCTTCTTTCCTGAGGCTAATTGATATCCTGCTTATACTTTCAGACATGTGGCTGGCATCTCCATCACACACTAGAATTGCAGAAGCACCGAATCCTTGTTCTGGAAAGGTTCAGTGGGGTCATCAAATGAAGGCCTTTTGATTGTACGCAGCAGGCACTCTGGCTCAGTCCCGGCCCTAACTTCACCCTTCCCGAGACGCCACACAACCCACCTTCTGGCCCCACACTCTTCCTGACCATCCCCTTTTTTCAACACCTACCTGTCAAAAGCCTGCTTCTCCACTGAATTACAAGGACTTGCAAAAGATTCATTAAATAAATGAGCAAATGAAGGCAGGAAACAGAACTTTGCCTTGTTCCCCCAACACAGGTGCTGAATCTCCCCCCACCCTCACTGTCTTCACGGCCCATCTACTTGGAGACCCTCCCTCGTGTTCCCCTGATGAACCCTTCCCCTCCAGCAGGCCCTCCCTCTCCACAGCCCCTCTCCTGACCCCCAGCCCATGTGCTCTGCCCTCCTCGTCCATGCTGGGCTTTCTCTTCTGACGGGAGGGAGACATGGTGAGGTGGCATTTGCCACCCCTGATGCCACAGAGGGGCTTGCCCGGAGCATGGCTCAGAGTGGGTGCCAACAGACCCTGAGCCCTAAAGCTCCAGCGTCCAGACCTGGGCTGCGATGCCTGAACTCCCTGGTGAGGCCCCTCCCCTGTTCAGAAGCCTGGCACCGAGCCAGCCCGCGTGGCTGGGTGAATGAGACTCCTGAGCAGCCCTGTCACTCTCCCAGCGAGCCCGCCTCCCCCTTATGGGCCTAGCACCGCGGCTCCTCAAATGCACGCCAGGGCCCGCGACTCTCCCGGGCACACAGTTTCGCAGAATCTGAAGAACCGCCCAGCTGCCGGCCACACCTGCGGTCCCAGGCCCCACCGAGAATGGAAACAAGCGGACACTGAGCAGAAGCTGTGGTCTGAGATGGGTCCACACCGCATGGCAGTGAGGATGGACACGGTCCGCCTCCTGAGGCTCACCTGTGTTGGGGACAGACACACGGGCCCAGGGTGGAGCATGAGGATGGTCTGGGCAGGTGAGCGGGGAGGACAGTCCAGGTGCAGGGTACACAGGCCAAAGGCGGAACGACGCCTCTGAAGGCACACGCTGCCCAGAGGAGGGCCCAGAGGAGCTAATGTGGGACACCCATCCCCTTCTCCTCTTCCCCTGCATCCCCCTCCCCTGCCAGAGCCTGTGCTGGCAGCCTAGGAAGGAGACTCACTTGAGAAAGCAGTGGGCGGTGGAGAGGAGCCAGCGGGAGTTAACGAGGACGGCTCCACAGACGTGTGAGCCCTGGGACTGCAGGCTGGCCTGCCACGGCCACTGGCCGGCCTCCACGTCCCGGCCGCCGGAGATCCTCCCCATCACCTTGGGTTTCCCGCACGCTGTGGAGACTCCCCTGCCACCTGCAACAGAGACACTGGTGGTGCCCCAAATGTCACAACCAGGAAGGCCGCCCCGCTTCACAGATGGGAGAACCAAGCCAGGCGTCCAGCGGCCTAGCCGAAAGGCCAGGACTCTGCTTCACCGGCCGCCACTGAGGACGGGAGGGCAGAGCACAACGCATCAAGCCCTGTGGGGTGAGGACCGGGGGCCTGGGGGGTGGGGCAAGGAGGGGCCAGCTCACAGGAGCGTCTCCAGGCAGATGAACATCCTTGAGCAAGGCTGCCAAGGGCTGCACACGTCACAGACCGCATTTCCGCCAACTAGCCACCTCAATGCCTTGTCTTGTAGATCACAGAACTAAAGGTCTCAGAAGTTGCCGAGATTACTCTCCCAAGATCATGGCTTCTAAGGGCCTGTGCTCCCTCCACTTGACCCCATGTCTCAGGGAGGGAGATTTGCAGGCAGAAGCTGTGGTGCTGCGTGATCTGGGGCAAGTCACAGCCCTCTCTGACTCTGCAGGAGTCTCCATTTCTAAAAGAAGAAGGACTGGGCTAATGGGGACAGCCCTGGTTCCAGGACTCACGCCTGGGAGGGCAGGAGTGTGCCCAGGCCCCCGAGACCGGGCATCCTGGTCCAGGGCCTGGGCTCCCACGGCCGCAGTGAGGGGAGAGCCCTGGGCCCGGGACTCAGGCCCGTTCTCGCAGTAGACCCAGCGGTTTCCTCCACCCAGCCTCCAACCTCCGGACCAGGCCCCGCTGGTGCCCACTCCCTCGCCCCACAAAGGGACTGGGTCTCCTCCCACCCTAGGGCCTGACCCACCTGTGTGGAGGGGCCTCTGGGCTGCCTGGCTGGAGGGAGGGGCAGAGAAACGATGAGACTGAGTGACTCACCAGGCCCTGGTCACAGCCGTCACCCTCAGGCCCTGTGGCCTAGGGGATCTTGGCCCGAATGGAGGCCCCAACGCACCTGTGGCTCCCGGGGCCAACGGCTGTGCTCGCCAAGTCGGAGCGCCGCCCCCCCACGCTCCCCCGTCGCCTGCAGTCGGGCGGGGGGCGGCCGTGGCCGGGGACCCTCCCAGCTCCAGGGAGGCCACGTCCAGCAGCAGCCAGAGCAGAGCCGCCGGCGGGCCCAGGCCGCGGGGGGTCCCCGCCGCCCCGCCCATCGCCGGGTTACTGACCGCGGCCCGGCGCACCCTGCTCTGGCCCCGCCCCAGACCAACCCCGAACAGCTCTGCTTCGACACGGTGTTTAGACCATGAAGTTCATTTATACAAAGGACAAGTCAGTGATTTTCAGTAAAGGTTTAAAAAATTTATTGATTTATACTTAACTAAACCTTTTAGTTTAGAACAGTTTGAGATGTACGGAAAAACTGCAATGATAATACAAAGAGTTCTAATGTTCCTCCTCATCCTGTTTCCCCTAATGATGAGATCTTTGGATTGCCCTGGCACATTTGCCACAACTAGTGAGCCAATACTGATACCTTAATGTTAACCCAAGTCCATTCTTTCTTTCTTTCTTTTTTAATCTTTTAAGCTTAAGGTGCATAGCATAGTGATTTGGAGAAGGACATGGCAACCCACTCCAGTGTTCTTGCTTGGAGAATCCCAAGGACAGAGGAGCCTGGTGGGCTGCCGTCTGTGGGGTCGCACTGAGTCGGACACGACTGAAGCGACTCAGCAGCAGCAGCGGCATAAGTGATTTGCCTTTAGATGCATCATGAAATGGTCACCCCAATAAATTTAGTGAACTCACATAGGCACAGAATTAAAGAAATAGGAAAAAAATGTGTTTCCCAGTGATGAGAACTCAGGACTTACTCTAACAAGTTCCCTGTATCATATAGAGCAGTATTAATTACATTTATCATGTTGTATATTACCTTCCTAGTACTTATAACCAGAAGTTTGTTTCTTTGACTATAGCTATCTAATTCCTACCTCCCCATTCCTGGCTTCTTGTAACCACAAATTTGAGATCTCTTTTTCTGTGAATTTGTTTGTTTTTGAAGTGTAATTGACCTACAATGCTGTTAGTTGCTGTTATACAACATAGTGATTGGATATTTCTGCACATTTCAAAATAATAGGAATAGTTAGGATATGTCACCGTACAAGGACATTACATAGTTATTCACTATATTCCCCACAGTGTACATTTCTTACCCATTTCACACTCATTTATTTGGCAATTGGAACTTAAAAAATATTTATTTATTTATTTATTTATTTTGACTCCCTTGGGTCTTGTTGCTCCACGAGGGATTTGTCTAGTTGTGGAGAGCGGGGAGTAGGTACCCTTTATTGTGGTGTGCAGGCTTCTCATTGCTGTGGCTTCTCTTGTGGAGCACATTTTCTAGGGCGTGGAGGCTTCAGTAATTGAGGTGCCCTGGCTTAGTTGCCCTATAGCACGTGTTGTCTTCCTGGATCAGGAACTGAACGCATGTCTCCTGCGTTGGCAGGCAGATTCTTAATCACTGGACTGCCACGGAACTCTTGCCACGGGAACTTTGTACCTCAATCTCCCTCAGCTTTTGCTTTCTTCCCCCCCAATCCTCTCCCTTCTGCTAACCAACCTGTTTGTTCTCTTTGTCTATAACTCTGTCTGTTTTATGTTTGTTCATTTATCTTTTAGATTCCAAAGAAGTGTAGTCATACAGTACTTGTCTTTGTCTGACTTATATCACTTAGCATGATAGTTTCTGGGCTTCCCAGGTGATGCTAGTGGTAAAGAACCCACCTGCCAATGCAGGAGACATAAAACAAGCCAGTTCTAACTCTGGGTGGGGATGATCCCCTGGAGGAGGGCATGGCGATTCGCCCCCAGCTGCCCCAGCCCAGTGTTCCTGCCCCCAGAATCCCATTTACAGAGAAGGCTGCTGTGCTTCTGTGCTCAGCCTTCTTATAGTCCAACTCTCACATCCACACACGACCACTGGAAAAACCATAGCCTTGACTAGACGGACCTTTGTTGGCAAAGTAACGTCTCTGCTTTTTAATGTGCTGTCTAGGTTGGCCATAACTTTTCTTCCAAGGGGCAAGGGACTTTTAATTTCATGGCTGCAGTCACCATCTGCAGTGATTTTGGAGCCCCAAGTAAATAAAATCTCTCACTGTTTCCATTGTTTCCCCATCTATTTGCCATGAAGTAATGGGACTGGATGCCATGATTTTAGTTTTCTGAATGTTGAGTTTTAGTCAGCTCTCTCACTCTCCTCTTTCACTTTCATCAAGAGGCTCTTTAGTTCTTCCCTTTCTGCCACAAGGGTGATGTCATCTGCATATCTGAGATTATTGATATTTCTCCCGGCAATCTTGATTCCGGCTTATGCTTCATCTAGCCCTGTATTTCACATGATGTACTTTGCATATAAGTTAAATAAGCAATATGTGTGAATGGACCCTCCTCTTTCTGAATCATTGCATGTTTCCTAGCAGGTGGGTGAAAGAATTCCCATCAGCGTCGGGCATCCTCAGCAGAAATCATGCGTGTGGATAGAGGGGTGTCTGCACTCCTTCACCATGTGTGTGGTCCTAGCATTTGGGCCCCTAGAAGGGTCTGGTGGGCAGATGGCATGCAGAGGAGAACCTTCAGAGGTGTGCTGTTGGTGTAGCAGGCAGCAGTCAAAAGTCATGGTGCTTCCTGGATAAGAGGTCAGATAACCAAGCGCTCTCTCAGGAGAAGGCCCTGAGAGTCGGCTGGAGCTCCAGGCGTTGCTGGCTGTTCCGTGGCACAGCTGATGGGCAAGGATGACTCCGCAGTGGGTCCAGGCGGTGAAAGCCTACAAAGCCTTGGGTCCCTGAACCCACTGGCCCGGGAGCCATGGGGACTGCTGAGTCTCAGTCTGGCCAGCCGTACCCCTAGGTCTCAGCCGACCTGTCTGTGCGCGCTCCGTCGTGTCCGACTCTGCCACCTCACGGACTGCATCCCGCCAGGCTCCTCTGTCCACGGGATTTCCCAGGCAAGAACACTGCCGTGTGTTTCCACTTCCTCCTTCAGGGGATCTTCCTCACCCAGGGATCGCACTCAGGGATCCAGGGATCAAACTCAGGGATCCAGGGATCAATCTGCACTGCAGGTGGATTCTTTCTTTTAAGGCACCAGGGAAGGACTTCAACCAGTCTAGCTCCATGGAAACCTAACTTCTCAGGGATACACAGGACCTCTGGGGATCAGTGAACTGACAAGGATGAAGATGGGTGTTTTGCAGAAAGTTTTCAGTTTCGTCTCAGGTTCAAAGAATTTGTTAACAAAATGAGCCACTTGTTATACACAAATAAATAATACCAAAATTTTTTAGAGAATTATCTAGCTTTCTTTCAATATACTAATGTTAAAAGAAAAGAGAAATAGAAACAGCAGAGGATACATCACCGAATTGGGTTTTGACCAACATCCAGAATTAAACAGCACGGGGAAATCCCCTGACACAGCATTTCTGGAGTCCCAGTTGGGAAAAGTTCCCAGCAATGCATCTGCTTCATGAGTGAGATTTCAAATATTGCAGTTTGGGGATTCCAGTTTATAATCCCAGAAGGCAAACTGATACCATCATCAATCTGTGAGCAATTTCAGCGAGGTTTCACGCTAATGCTATTTGTTTGTCATGTAAAACTTGGAATATTGTTGCCTGGGGCTTGGTTGGCCAGTGTCCCTCTGGGGACTCAACAATTTCAAGACTTGTCTCCTGTCTTTCTATGGTTCTGCAAAGCTTGCACTCACAGTAGGCAGTCAGGGCACTCAAGTCCGGGCTGTGTCCAGGCAAGTTAAAAGCAGGGTCAGAGGCCTGATCTGTTTTGTCTCTGCGCCTGATCAAGACTATTTATTTAATTTACGTAATACTGGGGAGGTTTTGTCCCTGAGAGACAGCATTAGGACTGAGACTTGGAAAGCCTGGGGAGTCCTGCTCTGAGGACATACAGCTCTGACATTCTCAAATCCTTTAGACATGTTCTCTATTCTTTTCTGAAGGCTTTGGATTCTTCTAGCAGTGGGAAGCTCATCTCAGTTTCATGTTTCCCTGATAGGATGAAGTGACCCATTTTTTTTTTTTAAACTATTCAATAGGAATTTGACAACAAGGAGCTCATGATCTGAGCCACAGTCAGCTCCTGGTTTTGTTTTTGCTGACTGTATAGCACTTCTCTGTCTTTGGCTGCAAAGAACATAATCAATCTGATTTCGATGTTGACTATCTGGTGATGGCCATGTGTAGAGTCTTAAATTCAGACCTAAATTGAAGAAAGTGGGGAAAACCACTAGACCATTCAGGCATGACCTAAATCAGATCTCTTAGGATTATACAGTGAAAGTGAGAAATAGATTTAAGGGATTAGATCTGAAAGACAGAGTGCCTGATGAAGTATGGATGGAGGTTTGTGACATTGTACAGGAGACAGGGATCAAGAAAATCCCAAAGAAAAAGAAATGCAAAAAAGCAAAATGGCTGTCTGAGGAGGCCTTAACCGTGAAAAGAAGAGAAGTGAAAAGCAAAGAAGAAAAGGAAAGATATACCCATTTGAATGCAGAGTTCCAAAGAAT